TTTTTTTACCATGTTCAATCTGAATTTTCTTTAAAATAAAAAACATCTATATTGATTCTGACTTTTCTACATCCAACTCACAGGTTTATCATCACTTTGAGAAAAAAGATTATTACTTTAACCCTTTTAGAAGGGAAGATATAGTCATTTGTTCTGGGAATGTCATTTTCGAGCCTGGAACCTGAAATTAACAACCGGCGTAAACGGACCTTTGCGCGCTATGAAGCAGTGAGCGTGCGATGTCCTGTTCAGATGACGTCAAATCCAACGGGATGCCATAAATAAACTACACAGAATCACACTAGACACCTACGCAATGATTACATTCAGGCAGACTGTAGAATACAACCTCTTTGGACAATTGATATACTTATTGAAAACAAGCTACAAAATGTAATACCTTGGAATATGCCGTTTAATACTTTTTAATAGCCTTCATTTTCGCTAAATTGATTTATCAACTTTTAATACTTTTTAAGACCCGCGGACACCCTGTATGAACTCAGTAATCCTTTATACTCCTAGTCCTCATATTGTACAGTCACACTCCCATCTTTCGTTTTAACACACTGAATGAACTGTCAGCTGAGGTGTGTTTAAACACCATCGCCATGCTGCTAGACGCTTATTTATATTCAGTTACAATGTGCTGCATCTCATCATTATTGCGATCACTTGTGTGGCCATTCATCTCGAGTTGAAGGTTAAAAGCTTGATAAATAATGTCAAAGTGAATAATCAGTTCCCGCAGTCAGGACTCATTAGCAGCAATTTCACTTACCCGTCATTAAGAGCAATTTCAAAAGGGGCGTTTAATTATTGCAATAAACAGGCTGAGAACTAGATATGAGAGCATATTTACCGAGGCATTTACTGAGCTTCATAAAAACATTATTTGTTATTGCTGAACACCTCCAGAGTGCTCTCAATAGCAGAGAAAGGAAGGCATGCATTCACTACTTATTCTATTTTTACTGGGTAATCCAATAGATTGCCTTTATAACCTTCTCTCTACTGCCATCCCATTAGACTTTTACCTTTATAGGCATTTATATACCTCCATCTTCCCCAGCCCCTTTACGCATATGATAAGTCTTTATCGCAGCACCCACTTATTGATGACAGAAAATCCTCCGACCTACTTTTATATAACGCTGAATGCAGTTAAGAAAACCCACAACAATCCTCCATAAATCTGTCACCGCGTCCCCGGCAGACATCTGCACAGTCTGGCAGTCAATTATCTCCCCTCACCTTCAGAAGGCCTCCCTTCAACGCTGCATGGGAGGCAGCAGAGACCCGTATCCCTCCCTGATCTTTATCCCTACTCTTGGCGGAGCTGTCAGCTTAAACCTTCAGTTAACCTCCGGAAAAACCCCCGTGAGAGAAAACAACCTCCACATCTGCATGTCGAGAGCCGGGCGTTTAATGTGGCATCGTACATAATGGTTAGAAAGTGATTTTGACAAACGCCATGAAGCCAATCTGTGAAAGGATGAACACATGCTGCACAATGACAGATCAATGACACAACAAAAAGCCTAAAGGACATCTCTACACATGGTCTATTAGTAACAGGAGAAAGCTGGATCTATTTTGGTTATCCCCCCCTCCGTTAATAACTGTGGATTCCTAAGCTGCCATGTCAACGAGTCCAGAGGATGACAGTCATGTGCTGACCTGTAATCAGACAGGAGGCACGCAGATATTCAGTCATAGTCGATCATCCACACATTTCTCTCTTTATGCAAATACCTCCTATCTAGCTCTTCTCCATCTTCAGCGAGTTCATCTCCTGGCTATCTTCCCCGATCAATACCCAGCGCACCTCTTGGTGTGGAACCGGGACACACACCCACGGGACAAACATCACACGGCTGTCTTGATTTATTTTCATCCCCCTCTTTTTGCTTTTTGACTTCAGCGAGATATGAAGTGACTCAGCAGCAAGCCAATGATTGGACAAGCCAGTGGAGTGATCCTTGAGAGGGAAAGCAGGATCAATGGCTTCCCTATCATTATGATTTATTAGCCTCAGTCCTTTCTCTCTGTCTGCCCGAGGACCCGTCTCTTGAGGAGGTCCAGTGTATCCTCGGCCAGGGCGTCTCTCAGGGCGCTGAAGAAGGCGTGGTAGTGGGCCGTGTTGTGGATCATGAGCAGGACCCCCGCCAGCAGCTCATTGGTCACCAGCAGGTGGTGCAGGTACGCCCTCTGGTGGTTCCTGCAGCAGTAGCAGCCACACCCCTCCACCAGGGGCCGGAAGTCGCCTTGGTACCTGAGGAAAGTTCAGAGAAAGTTCAGAGACGGGAAAAGTACTCAGATCTTGTACTTAAAGGTCCCCTATTATACTGTTTTTCGTCAATATATTATGGGTCTCAGATATATACAAAATATGTCTCTGAAGTGTTTGGCTCGAAATACCAAACAGATCATTGCAGCATTACCCATAATCCCCTCTGTTTCAGCCCTGTTTCCAAAGGGCTGATTCTCTGTCTGTTACTTTAGATGAAAATAAGGAGCCCCTCCCCACGCCCCTCTGAGAGAGATTTGGTTAAAAAGAACTCAATGGTGCTCTAGGAGGAGATTCAGGTGATAAGGTGTAGCTAATGGTTACACAAGACAAAACATCGTTATGACGTCCTAAAGTGGCCAACATCTGATCAGCTCATTTTTTCTATAATATATAAATGGATCAGGACAAAAAGAGAGAGAATCTTTGTTCCTGAAACATTCAGAAGGTTGCCCTCAGGTATGGAGACTTTTTGTGTAATCCATTCATGGCAGTGACACCTTATCGAATCAATGATTTAAGCCTTCAGAGCATCACTTGCTTCTCAAAAGTAACAAATAGTGGCACCTTTACTGATAAAACCCTCCTCCGGTCCTCACTCCTTCCACGCTAACACTCGCTGTGACAGATGAAAGCAGCTGGTGTTTTATTGGCTGCTACAAACCTCTTCTCTTTCAGATTGATCTCAAAGGAAGTCATCTGCGTTTGATCGCCAGGATTCAGATCTCCGTTGTGTTGCGAGTCGCCCGCTGTTTCCTGATCTTCACCCGGCTCCAGCACTGCCAAAAGCATACATACATACATCAAATTAATTCCAGCTCGTTCACACCGTAATCTCAATGTAAATCCAGCCCTACGCACAGATACAAAGGGCTGGAGAAGGCATACCATGGCGTGACCCCTTTCCATCACCGCTGTTTCCTATATTCCCCCCGTCATTTACATATAATTACTTACAGCCCGGCCTCACACAGATGGGTGAGGCCATGAGAGTGGAAAAACAACTGATGAAGAGCCATGTTACAGAACTGTTGTTCTGGACGGTTACAGTGAGGAAACGTGAGAGAGACGGGGGAGAGAAAATGGAGCAGAGTAATGTATAACATAAAAGATAACAAACAATGGGTTTAGTGCGAGCTGAAACAGGTGGAGCTGAGAGCAGACGTGGAAAACAAAGCATAAAAAGAAAGCTTATTAGCTGCTGATACGGGGAGAAAGAGAATGAGGCTTGAAAAAGAGGGGGACGTCTAGCACTGAAGAACAGCAGTCCGTAGTAAAGCTTTAGTTTTAGAGCTGCAGGGAAAACATATTCACAGTTTTCCTCTTTCTTTTACGATAAAGAAACGAGCACATTTATTCACCGCTAAATGAAATACATTAACATTTCATAGATGTAGCTTAACCTCATTATGTGACTCCTGCAGTGATAGAAGATACTGCCTCTGATAGGACTAAGGGAGGAAGGGAGGAGGGAAGGAGGAAGGAAGGAAGGAAGGAAGGAGGGAGGGAGGGGAGGAAGGAAGGAGGGGAGGAAGGAAGCAAGAAAGGAAGGAAGGAATTAAGGGAATGAAAGAAAGGAACGAAGCAAGATAGGATTGAAGGAAGGATAGAAGGAAATAAGAGGGTGAATAAGCATATGGTCTGCTGTGTCAGATAGTAGGAAGGAAGGAAGGAGGGGGTGAGGGGAGGAAGGAAGGAAGGAGGGAGTGAGGGGAGGAAGGAGGGGAAGAAGGAAGGAAGAAAGGAGGGAGGGAAGGAGGGGAGGAAGGAAGGAAGAAAGAAAGGAAGGGAGGAAGGAGGGAGGGAGGAAGGAAGAAAGGAGGGAGGGAAAGAAGGAAGTAAGAAAGGAGGGAGGGAAGGAGGAAGTAAGAAAGGAGGGACGGAGGGGAAGAAGGAAGGAAGGAGGGAGGGAAGGAGGGGAAGAAGGAAGTAAGAAAGGAGGGAGGGAGTGAGGGGAGGAGAGGAGGAAGAAAGGAAGGAAGGAGGGAGTGAGGGGAGGATGGAAGAAAGGAAGAAAGGAAGGAAGGAAGGAGGGAGTGAGGGGAGGATGGAAGAAAGGAAGTAAGAAAGGAAGCAGGGAGTGAGGGGAGGATGGAAGATAGGATTGAAGGAAGGATAGAAGGAAATAAGGTGTGACACCCTCCCGCTCTCAGCTCCTCTGAACTCCATTACGCTCCCCGTGCAGAATCGATTAGTTCTGTCTGACACGTCGTGCTGCAGACACCAGCCTCGCTCAGTCCGTCGGACGAGTTTCAAGCTACTTTTTAATGCAGCACAAAGACCTCAGCCTCTCCCACAGCTTCCGTCACAAGAAGTCTTTAGATTTCCACTATCAGAGACACGGACCTGGGCTGCGGTCGAATAGTCCAAAAATCAAGAATGTGCGTCTGCTGCTGTGGAGAAACTATGGAAACTACAGTTTTCTATACAGCGGACTACAACATGGATGTATAATAAGAACGAGGGACTCATCCAGAGACTCTGCACCGTGCTCTGATGCTGTTGTTTTATGCTTTATGAACCTGGACAACAGAGAAACATATTCTTCATGACCAAAGTTGGAATTGAAATAAAAAAGGGAATTGAAACTTATGCTCGTCACCCTCTCCCTCCGGTCCACATTAATACAAATGATCCCAATACGTATGATTGTATGAAAAGATCTTAAAATCAATACAGATGTATTTATTATAAACGTTAGTCCTTAACACCTATCACTGTATATATCACCATTAAACATCTTTTAAAAGTTGAACAAACCCCACACAGCTCAGTGAAATGTTGACTTTATTTGATCAAATCAAAACTAACGTTCATATTTCTCTTTTTGATTATAATACTGATGAACGTTCAAAGCAAAGCACTTTGGCAAGTTACCACATACATTTTAAAAAGCTTAATAAGCACCGTAACGTTCATGATATAATTTCTCGGTCATAATCGGTTGTTTCCGTGAACGGCCGACTGTTGCGTGACGGCAAATGCTGCGGCTGCAAGGCATTGTGGGGCAGCATTTTCTCCTCTCCTTTCGGTAAGGGAGGTTCAGTGGTTCCTAAGCTAAAGGAGGTTATAAAGGAAGTTTGAAACCTCCTTTCCTATCATGTAGAGAATTCGAACGGCACTTATCATGGCTGCCACTGAGGGACTTCCGGGTCATTTCACTCGGTTAGAAGGTTCCTAAGCTAAATGGACTATTCGACTGCAGCCCTAGACTCAGATCAA